CCCTATCAACATCCCCAAGGACACCCCAGTTTCCACACTGACATCTCTTGCTCGCCACCCACACTCCCATGGAAATGTTCCTTACACTCCAGCTCCTCCTTGGACACCCCTCCTCCCAAACCAGCACCTCCACGGATCCCCTGCTTCCACGCCCATGGATTCCCTGTTCTACCCCATGGATCCCCTGCTCTACCCCACAGATCCCCTGCTTCCATCCCCATGGATCCCCTGCTTCCACCCTGACAGCCCCACAGATTCCCCCATTCCCCACGGACAGCCCCACAGTCACCCACATTCCATGTCAGCCCTCCCACAATCACCACTCCTCCCACCGTGGAACCCCACGGACACCCCTCTTTCCCTGCTGTCCCCTCCAGTGTCACCTGCCCTGTACCTTCCCCTACAATGACCTGTGCTCTTTGCCCATGGACCACCCCACTGACACTCCCTCCTCCCCCAAGGATGCCCCATGGATGATGGCTCCTTCCTCATGGACCCCTGTTCCTTCCTCAGCCATCCCAACCAACACCTCAGCTCCTTCCCAATGGACACCCCACAGCAGCAGCGATTCCTTCCCCACACAGACTGTGTCCCTTGGTCCCATTCCCAAAATCCTCAACGCTCCCAGGCCTCCCAGGAGCCCCCACACCATCTCCTGGCCACACTCCTCAGGGACCCCAGGATGGGCTGTGACAGCACATGGTGCCCTTGTGCCAAGAGGGACGTGTCTGTACCTGCCCAGGTGTGCTGGAGTGTGTTGGAATATCGTGGATATGGGACAAGCGCCTCAGGAGCTCTCACAGGATCCCAGGTGCTCTGGGATTGACCTGGTGCCAGCCCTGTGTGACACCCTTGGGGCCTGGCACGGCCACATGGGCTCATGGGGAGCTGTGGATGGCACAGACACCTTTCCTACGAGGGATTCCTGCTCAAATCCCACCAAATTCTCACTGGAAATTCACTCTGCTGTGTGCAAACACAGAGAAATCCCAGAGTCTCCAGGTTAATAAGCACAGAGCACAAAATCCCCTGTGGTTTAATAACCCAGCATTAACCATCCCTGCATGCACAGGCTCACGGGCCATATCCAGTAAATCCTGCCTTAAACAGGGATTCGTGCCATTTGAAGTTTCTTTTCCCTGCACAATCCATAGAAATAACGATAAAAATCTCAGTATTTTTGAGCATTTCAAAGCAGCTGGGAATACACAGGCAGGATTATCCTGCTCACGAGGAAGCACCCTGGTGATGGCTACAGGATCGTCAGGGAGGAGGATGCCCACAGGAGACAAAAGAGTCCCTGAAGTTTGCCTTTAAAACACTTTTTTTTTTTTTTTTTCTCCAGCCTTTTAGCATCCTGTCTTCCCCAGCAGCTTCCAAATAAGTGAATAAATACAGCTGCTGCTTTATTGCTCCTTATCCAAACAGGCAGCTCTGATCCTGCTGCCGTGGAACCACGGCTTTAATTGGAATCACACGTTCAAAGCTGGGCGAGTGCTGAAGCCTCTCCCAAAAAAAGTCACCTTGGGGGGAAAAAAACATCCTTGGAGATTCACAGCTCCTGGCTTTGCTGGCACAGAGGATTCGTGGGATTGAACACAGGTGTCATTGGATGAGGTTTAGGGTTATTAGAAGGTTATTAAATCAATTCCTGATTTTTGCTCTTTATAATAATCCCGACTGCTGCTGTGATTCCCAAGGAAATGTCGGAGCTGCTGCAGTTATTAAAGGATCTGTGTGGAGGTTGGGATGGGTGAGCTGAGGGCAGGATGGGTGGAC